GCTTTTTCCACGTGCTGCTGCCGCTCCTCCTCCTCCTCCTCCTCCTCCTCCTCCTCCTTCTCCTCCTCCTCCTCCTCCTCCTAAAACAAAAAAATCCTGTACGCTCTGCCTCCTCCTCCTCCTCCTCCTCCTCCTGCTCCCGCTGCTGCCCCTCTTCTCCGGTCTCCATCTCCTGCGTCTCCGCCTTCCATCTCCTGCCCTCATTCCACCTCCGGCCCTCCCTCCTCCATCTCCTGCCGCTCCTCCCCATCTTCCCATGCCTCCGTCCCTCCCCTGCTCAGCCTCTGCCTTTCTCGTCTGTTACCCATGGCAGACGCTGATCTTCGAGACCTGCATCGGCCTTGAGATCCAGAGCAAGACATCCTTCACCAGGAGATGGGTTCTAAAACTGGGAGCTCACAGCCTGCTCAAGCTCCAGACAGTAGGGCAGCATGCTGTGTTGTACCAGCACCAGTGTGTGCTCAGCCGTCTGTTGTTTTGCTGAACTCCCACTTCTGACGACTTCTCATGTTGTGTTTCCCCGACAGCGTTTCGCTCTAGGATGCAGATGTGGGTTGCAATCAATCCAGCACCTCTCCCGTGGGGTCCCACCAGCTCCATCTGTCTCTGCCCGCGCCTGCAGGAACTTGCCTTCTATCCAGCAGGATGCCTTTTAGGCGTGCGTGAGTGCCGCGAGGCATCGCGCTCGCTCAAACCTGGACTGGCACTTTCGCCTGGGACTTCCTCGCCGCCATCTCTTTGATACCCCGCCCCCCTGACCCGCCCGTCACGGCCCGTCCGCCCGTCCCGCCCGTCAGGGTCCACCCGCCCGACCCGCCCAGTAGGGTTTGTTTGCCTGACCGGCCCGCCTGGGTCTGCCCGCCCGACCGGCCCGTGAGGGTTCGCTAGCCCGACTCCGACGCACCCGCTTTCCCGTCCCGCCCACCCGACCCGCCCAGCAAGGACCGCCTGTTCCCTTGCTTGCAAGCCCACCCGCCCGTTTGGCTGTCCCGCCCGCCAGTCCCGCTCGTTACGGTCGGCCCGCCCGCCCCTGTCCTTTAGGGTCGGCCCGCCCGACTTGCTTGTTACGGCCCCTCCGCCGAACTCGCTTGTCCCACCCAGTTAGGATTACCACAGGAGCGGGGATGGAGTAAATTTGTCCCCCCAGAGGGCGCGATTGAAGACGAAGAGGGTGACGGTCCAGGATTTGGGTATACATGTTGACGCGCGGGTATTGCGGACCGAACAGCACGAACTGCTTCAATTCTGATTTCTGAAAAGTAATTACTCCGACGGGGCGACCCGCATGACGACTTTTTTTGTCGTTCCACTTGTGCGGGTAGGTGTGTATGTGAGACTGGGAGGCTGGAAGGTTGTTGTGGCAGCAAGCACATCGAACACGTGACTGGTGAGAGAGGGGGAATGAGAGAGAACAAAGAGAGAGAGAGAGAAAGAACGAACAACGAGCGAGAGAGAGAGAGGTATGGGGGAGACAGTCGTCGTCGTCGTCGTCGTCGTCGTCGTCGTCGTCGTCGTCGTCGTCGTCGTCATAGTAGTAGTAGTAGTAGTAGTAGTAGTAGTAGTAGTAGTAGTAGTAGTAGTAGTAGTAGTAGTAGTAGTAGTAGTAGTAGTAGTCGTAGCAGTAGTCGTAAAATTCATAGTAAGAGTGGTCGCAGTCACAGTCGTAGTCGTATCTGTGGTTGAGGGTAGTAGTATAAGTAGTAGTAGTAGCAGTCGTAGTAGTAGCAGTAGCAGCAGTAGTAGTAGTAGTAGTAGTAGTAGTAGTAGTAGTAGTAGTAGTAGTAGTAGTCGTAGTAGCACTGGTAGTAGTAGTCGAAACCAATTGCCCTAGCCAGCCCAACCAGCCAGCCCAACCAACCAGCCACCCAAACAACTCAACCGGCTCAACCAGCCCAACCAGCCACCCCGCAACCCCAGCCAACCCGCCACCCCGCCAACCCGCCCACCCCCGCCGCCTGCCCTCCGTCACCGTCGAGAGGGGGGGGAAGTGTTTCTTACAAGCGAAAACCACAAAAATCACCCTCCCGGGGTCCGGCGGGACAGCGGGGGCAGGGGAAATCGCACCGTACTATGCGGGAGCGGGGTTCGCGCCCGAGGTGCCCAAGGACGATTTGGGGCCTCAAATGCGACACTGTCGTCAATTTATTACCTTTCACCGCGCTCCCCTTCTGAGCAGAAAGGCCCCCATCCGTGAAACTGTCGTCATTTTTCAGCCCCCGAAAGGGGCTTCTGAGAGGCCCCCAGAGGCTCCCAGGAGGGCCCATGGCGGCCTCGGGAGTGCCTGGGAGATCACCGGAGGGCCCCAGGAGGACCCACTCTGCACCGCGCCCCCCTTCTCAACGGAAAGGCCCCCATGCGCGAAATTGTTTTCATCATTCCGCCCCAGCGAGAGGGTTCTTAGAGGGCCCACGGAGGCTCCAGGAGGGCCAATGGCGGCTCCGGGATAGCCCACGAGATCTCAAGAGCCCCCAGGAGGACCCACTTTCAATGACACTCAGGG